CTAGTTTCCTCGTGAGCTCTTCTTTGACCTGTTTGTTGTAGTGTGGTTTAATCTCCACATAGCATTTTCTTCTCTTTCTGTTGATTTCTCATTTGATTTCCCTTGTGGCTGGACAAGATGCCAGGATGCCCTACTTTTCAGTTTGTTGAGACTTGCTTTGTGGCCTAACATGATCTATCCTGGAGAAGGTTCTGTGTATTCTGTTGCTGGTGGTGCTGTGTCTGTTAGGTCTACTTGAGTCTGTAGGGTGGTCTTTTATTTTTTGTTGTTTTTGTATTTTTATTTTTTAAAAGATTTTATTTATTTACGACAAAGAGAGAGAGGGAACACAAGCACATGGGAGCTGGAGAGGGAGAAGCAGTCTCCTTATTTTTTTTAAAGATTTTTTTTTTTTTTTTTTTGAAAGAGAGGCAGTGAGAGAGAGCATGAGCGAGAAGGTCAGAGGGAGAAGCAGACTCCCCGTGGAGCTGGGAGCCCCACGCGGGACTTGATCCCGGGACTCTGGGATCATGACCTGAGCCGAAAGCAGTCGTCCAACCAACTGAGCCACCCAGGCGTCCCAACAGTCTCCTTATTTTTAAATAGACTTATTTATTTATGTGAGAGTTTGTGAGCAAGGGGAGGTGCAGAGGGAGTTTTAAAGGATTTATTTTAGGGAGAGATGGGGACGTGGGGGGAGGGCATGCATGTGAGTGGATGAACAAGAGAGGGCAAAGGGAGAGAGAGAATCCTTAAGCAGACCCCTTGCTCAGTGTGGAGCCAAAATCAATTGTTGGATGTGTAACATGAGCCACCCAGGTGCCGGTCTTCTATTTTTTCAAATCAATCTCTCATCCAGATGTTCTAACTATGGTTGAAAGTGGGGGTACTGAAATCTTTAACTATGACTGTAGAACTGTTTCTTTGGTGATCAACGTTCATTTCATGTATTTTGAGGTTCCTTTGATGTGTATATAGTTGGTATATGAACTCAGTATATTAATATACAATATCCTTTGTTTCCTGTAGAAGTTTTAGACCTGAGGCCTGTTTTGTCTGATTAATGTAGCCACTCCAGCTATCTAGTGGATGAGGAACTCATACTTATAAAGATATTTTCTTAGTGATTACCATGGTAATTATAACTGACATCTTCTGTTTGTAACAATCTAGTTTGATTAGATTACTAGAGTCCGTAACAGAGACACTGTGCTCCCACTTAGCTCTTACCCAATGCCTGCTTACCATGGTCAGTTACAGCTTCAGACATGTAGTGCCCATTAACACAGACTCATCATTTCTTATGCATTTATCCTTTAAATCACATAGGAAATAAGAGGGATTACAAACAAAAGGAGTATCAGTCACTGTGTTTTATATTTACCTGTGTACTTACTGTTTCTTTATATGCCTTCAAATTATGGTTGACGGTCCTTTCGTTTCAGCCTGAAGGACTACCCTTCGGTATTTCTTATAGGGCAGATCTGTTAGCAAGCAAACTCCTTTTCCTTTTGTCTTAATTTTTTTTTTTTAAGATTTTATTTACTTGACAGAGAGAGAGAGATCACAAGCAGGCAGAAAGGCAGGCAGAGAGAGAGGGGGAAGAAGGATCCCTGCTGAGCAGAGAGCCCGATGCAGGACTCGATCCCAGGACCCTGGGACCATGACCTGAGCCAAAGGCAGAGGTTTAACCCACTGAGCCACCCAGGCGCCCCTGAAGGACAGTTTTGAGAGATAAAGAATTCTTGGTTGGCAGCCTTTTCTTTCAGCACCTTGTATCATTCCTCCCTGCCATGAGACCTCATGAAGTCTTGCAGTCCCTTTTAGACATATCCTTAACTATAAAGTATGTCTTATACTCATATAGAAGAGAATCAGCAATTAATGCATTATTGAGGCTCAACAAAATTCATTTGTGAAACAAACATTTCTTGACTGCCTACAATGTATATGGTGCTCACTGTTCAAAGGGGTAAGGAGTCAGAGGGGAACAAGCCAAGACAGGTCACAGGATTCAAGAACTCTAATGGAGAACGCAGACAATAAACTACTGAACCAGTAGAATCTTCAGTTTTGGATATGCACCAGAAGCAAAGGAATAGTGATGTAACAGAGAGAGCTGCATCAAGATGCCTTAAACCTCAGTCTTTCAACAACTGAGCCTGAAGCAAGGATTATGTATTGACACTTTGATACGCAGCAAGAAAAAAACTTGCCAGAACTCTGATGCCAGAGTGGTAACTGCTGGGAGACTGCACTCTTCAAAACTAGATTAAGAAGAGTCCAAAGAAAGCAGAGTTTGAAGGTTTTTAATGTTGAAATTGTGGAACAAATGGGGGGCTTTGTTGTAAAGGAAATGGAAATCCTCAAATGTAGAGGATGAAATACTGAGATGGGACTGGCTCCCAGGCCCAAAATGGAAACCTTTGTTGAGTAGCACAATACTGGGAACTTTGGTGATTTTCAGGTAAGCAGTGCTAGCACTAGAAAAAAGAATCTGAACTGAACGCAGGACGTGGCAAACAAAGTAATACAGTGTGTGCTGGAGACCCATAAAAAGGACTACTTTCAGATGGACGCATCAGAAGTATAAAATAGGGTGTGAGAAAATTACACAGGGCATTCATACAGCATATGCTTCTCACTCTTGATGGGTTAGTGGAGTACAGGAATGTTCTGTGTAAATTGGAAGATGCAATTTTATGATGAACTCTGGAGCACCCATAAACAGAAAAGGAGGCCAGGCCAAGGGTGCACCATGTGACTAGCGACTTAAACTCTTGGCTTTTATGGACCTCCTTCCATCTCCAATCCAGGATTGTACTGCTCTGTAAGGGTGATTTTAAAACTGAAGAGGGACAGAAGAGCTGAGATGCTGCCTCCACTTCCTGCCCCTACACAGACCAGCAGAGGGGTTGTCAGCCTCTTCCGAATCCATGCCCTCGTCTAGTTGCAGGAACGTTCTGATTCCTGGCCTGGTGTGGACAGCTGCTGATTCTGGTGTCCGGTATCTGGCTGACGTATGTGAGGGCTCCTGGCGTTAGGTTTCCCAGCCCCACCCTGTGTCTGTAAGCTTTAGGTGAGCTCCAGGGTGGTTATAAGGCTTGGGTGGCAATTGAGATGTTTCCAATCCATCCTGCCATGGGCAGAGTTTCCAGGATAGACTCATGAACTTAGTCAGTCAGCGAGACTCCATTCTGCAAAACGTGTGGAAGGGTTTGGGAGACTTTCTCTTGGTATTAGGAGTCCTAAGAACGATGGACCTGGCATGGTCAGGACCACCGTGTGCAGCATCAGCAGAAAAGCTACCCTAGGAAAGCAGAGCACAAACTCAAGGCAGGTATCTTGAGGTGTCGTGTAGAGGCTGTATCACAGTGACTCCTCTGCACAAGCCAACTTTTTTTCTCCCCACCCTACTCCCTTTGGCTACTTCCAATTAGGTTTTTGTTCCTTGAACTAGGAGTCTTGATGGACATACAATCTTCTGGTTTCCTTCTGTGGATCACCCTTGTGTGTCCAGACAGTGTCCTGCATCTCCCCTGGGGCTTCCAGTTTGTCGGTGTTATCTCCACTGTGACCCTCCTGTTCCTCCTCTTTATGGCCCCCCACACTACCCTTCCAATTCTATCCCCTCATGTCCTTCCCCCACCATACTCCTCTCTTTACCCCTCCACCTCCTCCATTTATTCAGGACAGTACCTACCCACACCTGTAGTCTATGGATACTGGCACCCCAACCCTGGGGCAAACCACACATAAGCCCTATTTGGACCCCAGACTCTGGATCTCTTGTTGACCTCTGTGAGACACTCTGTGCTCTAACCACACAGCCAGCATGGTGCCAAGGCTCTCCTTAGGTCTTCCAGGCCACACTCATGAGCATTCAAGTCTTCTAGCTCTCAAAGGCTATCCTGGACTCTCCTTGAGTCTCCCAGGACCTGTCTGAGCACTAGCCATTCCTCCCCGCGACACCAGGCCCTTCCACCCCTCTCTCTGCTTCTCCACTCACTCCTGTGGGTTCTAGTTCTTTCCACAAAAGGACCCACACCCTTTTCTCCAGGGCTGACAACTTCAGATGGCTTAGGCCCATCCTGAGTCTAACAGCTCCCTCAACTCTTCCAGGACTGGATCCTGGGCCCTGGCCCCTCCCACAGGACACATTCACTTGCCCTCCTCAAGCATCACCTCTTTGCCTCTGCTGCAAGACCTCCAGGATCTGGTGGAGGTCCCGAGTATGGTCCCATTCCTTCCTGAACAGATCACACGTGACCACCCAACAAAGTGCCAGGCTCATACGTGATTTTATTTTTTATTTATTTATTTTTTTTTTAAAGATTTTATTTATTTATTTGACAGAGAGAGATCACAAGTAGACAGAGAGGCAGGCAGAGAGAGAGAGAGAGGGAAGCAGGCTCCCCGTTGAGCAGAGAGCCCGATGCGGGACTCGATCCCAGGACCCTGAGATCATGACCCGAGCCGAAGGCAGCGGCTTAACCCACTGAGCCACCCAGGCGCCCACGTGATTTTAATGTTAGCTATTCTAGTGAGTGTCTAGTGAAACTGCATGGTGGTTGTACTTTGCATTTCCTTGATGAAAAATGAAGTTGAGCCCATTTTCACTTGCTCACTGACCATTTGGCCAACTTCTCTTGAAAGTGGTTATTTAAATCCCCTCACCCCTTTAAAACGGACTTTTTACTGACTTGGGGGATTCTGTGTTCTATGTGCGTCCTCTGTCAGGTGCATGGAGAATAATTATTACTTTGCCCAGTATGCCTCTGGCTTTTTTCAGTCTTTGAGGTGTCACTCGATGAACAGAACTTTGTACTTTTGATGAAGTCCAACGTATAAACTTTTTATGTTTAGCATCTTCCGTGTACTAAGAAACACCGCCCACCCAAGGCTGTGACAGTAATCTCCCGTATTTCCTTCTACAAGTTGGCCCGTCTTTTCTAAATTCTTGTGCCCACGGGGGGTGTTCCTGTAGGAGTTCATTAAGAGCAACACTAACGGTGATGATGGTAAGAACAACAGCTAATATTTATTGAGCTTACACAGTGTTCCAGATACACTGTCAGAATTTACATGTACCAAACTCAGTCACCACAACAGCAGTATTAGGCAGGTGTGATTGTCCCCATCTCACACACAACGCACAGGGGTAACAAGGTCATTTTTCCAGTGTGTCACAGGAGTAAAGGGGTGGGATGGTGATGGTAACAGGGAGGGTGTGTACCATGGCGGGACGCTCTCCCACATGGTTACATTTGCAGAGTTATTCCCTAGAACAAATCTGAGATAGAGCTTGAATGGTGGAGGGAGGCTTCTATCCACCCATGAAACCAATTCAGCAAGACAAAAAAACCCACAAAAAAACAAGTCTACACTTAGTGTGTTGTGATCATGAAGAAGTGATTTCTCCGTTCTCCAAATGTGCCTTGAGCATGACTATTCTGAGGAGCTATAAGCAGGAGTGACCAGTGAAGGCTTCCCCAGGCTAAACGGTATCATGGATTTTCCTTGTGCTGTGGAAGGAAGAAATGCTCTATAGAAGCTTCTGTCCTCTCTTTTTGTTCAAAAGGTTTATCAGCAGCGTGAACACTGATGTTCTCTAAGATGGTTCACGTGGTTACATGCTTCCCACATTCCTTACACTCAAAAGGACTTCTCACCAGTGTGAATTTTCTGATGCTGTGTAAGTTGATGGCCATGACTAAAGGCCTTCCCACACTCTTTACATTCATAGGGTTTTTCCCCTGTATGAATCCTCTCATGTTTAACGAGGCTTGACCCATAGATGAAGGCCTTCCCACACTCCTTACACTTGTAAGGCGTCTCACCCGTGTGGATTCTCTCGTGCTGGGTGAGGTGGTAGCCACAATTAAAGGCCTTCCCACATTCTGTGCATTTATACGGCTTCTCACCAGTATGAATTCTCTCATGTTTAACAAGGCTCGAACCCCAGCGAAAGGCCTTCCCACACTCCTTACATTCGTGAGGTTTCTCACCAGTGTGGATTTTCTGATGCTGGGTGAGATAATTGACTCGAGTGAAGGCCTTCCCACATTCCTGGCACTCGTAGGGCTTCTCACCAGTATGAATTCTCTTATGCTGAACGAGGCTCGAGCCACAGATAAAGGCCTTCCCACAGTCCTTACATTCATAGGGTTTTTCACCACTATGAATTCTCTTGTGCTGAATTAGTTTATACACACGGCTAAAGGTCTTGCCGCAGTCTTTGCATTCATAGTCTTTCTCCCCAGTGTGAAATCTCTGGTGCTGAGTGAGCTCGTCACCACGTCTAAAGGCTTTCCCGCAGTCCTTACATTCATAGGGTTTCTCTCCTGTATGGATTCTCTTATGAATGACGAGGCTTGAACCCCATCTAAAGGCCTTCCCACAGTCCTTACATTCATAGGGTTTCTCACCCGTGTGGATTTTCTGATGCTGAGTGAGCTGATTACCCCAACGAAAGGCCTTTTTACATTCCTTACATTCATAGGGTTTCTCACCCGTGTGGATTTTCTGATGCTGAGTGAGCTGGTAGCCACGACTAAAGGCCTTCCCGCATTCCTTACATTCATAGGAATTCTCCCTAGTATGAAGTCTCTGATGTGGTCTAACAGAGGTATTTTCTCTACAAGTAGGCGTTTTCTCACAGTTGATTATCATTTGATTGAAACAGCCCTCTTGAGGGCCCCGTGGTCCTTCACACTCACCTTCACACATCCAGTCAAGGCCAAGGGATTTACTTTTTCCATTTGAGTTCCATTTGGATAAATTTATTTCATAAAGGCCCTTTTCTGTAGGCAAACTCTTGGTCCCATATGGTGACTCTAAATCTGGAAAAAATTAACAGTTTGTTTCATTTTAAGGAAAATTAAAACGCAAATGAACCTAACCACAAACCAAAAACTTCTCTGACAGAAAGAAAACTTCTCTAGGAGAACAAACACGAGTCACCTAGGGCTCTCGTTAAATGGACGGCTCCACTGTACGTAATGAGGAAACATCGCAGACGCTCCTGCTGAAGTCAGACAAGGAAGAGGAACCGCCTCTTAGCCCTCCTATTTCCTATCAGCTGCCATGATTAAGGAAAAAGCAATCAGAGGGGCAGATCTCAAAAACAGAACACCATATGCAGATGATGTGATGACGTGCCTGGACAAACCCAGGAAAATCAAATATAGAACTAATGTGAAAAACAAGAAAATAACCTGGGTATAAAACTAACATTCTGAAGTTAATGTACCTGTTAGTCATGTAACGAAAACGATTCTGGACAAAAAGACCCACCATCAAAGGCAATAAAAGGGACACTGTAGGAGTAACTGCGACAAACATGGTCAACGCCTGTGAGGGAATGTTTTGGGGGATGTGACCGTCAATGGGGACGCTAACCCCACCAGGCTGCAAAACCCAGAACGCACTTAAGTGCATGACTTCATAATGGTGCCAGAAAGCATCAGATGATCAGCTTCGGGGGATGCGAGCCAACCAGCCCTTCGTTACAAGAACTAACAGTTTTTCCTTTAAAAACAATGTTTTCATCCGTTACGAACAGTGTCACTACATAACCAAGGAGCAGATACAGCACAGTTCCCTGTTAAGAACTGGGAGTGCAAACAAACAAAGCAGTAACAGAAGGTCGCACTGTGCATGCCCGCTGAGCTGTAGGTCCGCGCCCTGGGTGTCGGTGAGGGCTAACCGCACAGGAAGAACCATACTGGATGACGCCCTGTGACGTCAGAACCTAACAGCATCCAGGAAGGAGCATTAGCGAACATTAGAGAAAAGGAAAAGAGCACTCAAAGCTAGGATACCAACCACCTCGCAGGAGCTGTGAAGGGCATGGGGTCATGTGGTCTGCACCCCTGCTACTCAAGGCGTGGCCCACGGACCAGCAGCATCAGCAACACGGGAAGCAGGAGTAGGCGAGAAGCAAACCAGTAAGAGGGGAATGGGACAAAGATCAGGTTCATGGTGGTGACTTCTTCCCCAGAGGCCATCCCCGGCCTTCATAGGGAGCTTTCCAAATGCCCCAGGGGTACACCCGTTCCTGCCTCACTGAGCTGTTTACTGAAGCGATGGCTTGTCCCAGCCAGCCCAGCTGTCATTCTCCTCGGCACTGTGCTCCCTCTCAGCCATCAAGGCTCTTTCCCTTGTTCCCCAACATAGCAAGTCACATCTTGCTTAGAAATGAAAGGTCCTGGGGCGCCTGGGTGGCTCAGTGGGTTAAGCCGCTGCCTTCAGCTCAGGTCATGATCTCAGGGTCCTGGGATCGAGTCCCGCATCGGGCTCTCTGCTCAGCCAAGAGCCTGCTTCTCTCTCTCTCTCTCTGTCTGCCTCTCTGCCTACTTGTGATCTCTGTCAAATAAATAAATAAAATATTTAAAAAAAAAAAAAAAAAAAAAGAAATGAAAGGTCCTGCTTTCACAAAAAGAAATGTCACATGGTGTAGAATTTAAGAAAAAAATTATATGCTCAAAAGTTCTTTGGAGGGACGCCTGGGTAGCTCAGAGGGTTAAGCATCTGCCTTCGGCTCAGGCTGTGATTTCCAGATCTTGGGATCAAGTCCTGCCTCTGGGGCTCTCTGCTCAGCAGGGAGCCTGCCTCTCCCTCTGCCTGCCACTCCCCAGCCCCTCCCCCCGACTCATGCTCTCTCTCTCTCAAATGAATAAATGAAACCTTAAAAACAAAACAAAACAGGGCGCCTGGGTGGCTCAGTGGGTTAAAGCCTCTGCCTTCAGCTCGGGTCATGATCTCAGGGTCCTGGGATCGAGGCCCGCATCGGGCTCTCTGCTCAGCAGGGAGCCTGCTTCCCCCTCTCTCTCTGCCTGCCTCTCTGCCTACTTGTGATCTCTCTCTCTCTCTGTCAAATAAATAAATAAAATCTTAAAAACAAAACAAAACAAAACAAAAAAACACAAAAAAACCCTTGATGGAGACTTAGGAATTTACGTCAAGCTGGAAGTCAAAATGATGAGAATGCACAAAAGAGAAGGGATTAAAGAACAGGCAACCAGAGAGGAAAGGTCTTATTTCAAATTCCGAGGGTCTTACCTGTGGAGGCAGTACAAGAGGGGAGGTGACAGTGTGGATTCTTGGTTATGCCTCCCCTGTCTGATCAAGTCACTCCGTGTCTGAGTAAACTCACCCACAAGTTCGACACAGCAATCGTGCCTACCCCACAAACTCGTGGGACTGAGGCCAAGTATAGCAATCAGCCATTACTATTACGGCTGTTACCTCTCTAATAGAAAAACAAGACATAGCCTGAGATGTTTACAAGACGTTTCCTCCAACGTGTAACTCAGAACTCAGGAATCATAACTTTCCGCCTCACTTCAGGTACAAAGCACAGCCCCTGGAAAAGCCGCTTCGCTCCACTTCCGACACAGGCTGGCTTACTAGAGGAAGTCAAGCTCCCTGAGGTGGCTCCCCACAGTGCCGCAGGCCACCAGCAGCAGTCTGGGCATGAACACACCAACCCGGTGTGCAGCTCAACTCTGAAGATGGGTGCGAAATAAACAGCCCAGAACTGGAATTCGCCCTCTGGTCACTGAGGAGGAGAGGGGCTTCGAGGAAGGGCCCGGCCAAGGTGGAAGACGGTGAGGAGATGGAGGTGCACGACGCCCCTTTTAGATGAGACAAGGCTCAAGACACTTTTTGAGAAGAGGAAGAAATTCAACCCATTCTTGGAAGTCAGTCCTGACACTCGCAGTGGAGGGAGCGGACATTCCAGTGGACAGGCAACTCACCCAGGGAGACCAGGTTACTGTAGTTCTCCAACATCACGTCCCAGTACAGGTCCCTCTGCGAGGAGTCCAGGCACGCCCACTCCTCCTGAGAGAAGTTGATGGCTACGTCTGAGAATGTCACCAAACCCTGAAAACACAAACCCACACGTCCCTGAGAAGGACAGCACAGAGAGGGCTCTGCTCTGGGTTGGGCTGGACACAGCAGCAGACCACAGGCCTGCGAGGTATACAGGGCACAGTGGAGACTGGGACAGAGCAGAGCCCCTAATGCTCCTGAAGAGCCCGCTGCCGCAGAGAAAGCGCACACCCTGCACAACACCTCATCACCCCAAGCCGTCAGGAGGCACGAACCCATCCCGGGCTGCTCCTGTTCACAAGCACGGGGCCCGCTACGGGCCTGCCTCGTCACGTCTCGGCAAGCGTGGACGCCTGCGGCACCCTTTCCACCCTCCCAGGGAAAGAAAAGGCCTAGGCTTTTGTTTCTGAAGTGTGAAGTGACAGCTTTTATTTTTGAAACGAGGGTTTATGTGTCTGAATATTCTCAGCCTCAAGGTCACCATTTTGCCAAGGTTTTAAGCATTCTTCCTACGTGACGACAAAAGCATTTTCTTATTCCATCATAGGGATGGACTGGACTTAATTCTTACAGTTGTACACTTAGGTACAACCAAACATCTAAGGCTTTCCCCCATTCTGGGGGTATATGATCACCTGCGACTTCTGCACTGGGTGGCCGTGACAACCCACCACACCCCGGGCTTTTCTCTGCTCCTGACTGAGGGGACTGCTGTCAGACGCTGGGGACGCTCGCCGGTGTGCAGGGTGTGCTCAGCAGGCGCCCTTCATATCCCCTGATAACCTCGCGGCCTCTCAGCGCTCGGGCCCCCATCACAGTCCAAGCCAATCCCAAAAGCCTCACGGAGCTCCAGCTCTCACCACCACTGACCCGGAGAGCCGCCAACGTGAACTTTCCCTCCCCTCCGCCCTCCGCCGGGGAAAACCGCCGGTGGAGAACGGCAGGGAGTTCCAGTTTCTGCATGCGGTCAAACGGGAGCAGCATCCGCAACTCATAAACCACACCCATGACTCGTATTTCTCTCAAGGGACTCTCCTCCCCTCCTGCTCCCGCATTCTTCTTGACGGCAAGGTGAGCACAGAGGAGACACGGAATGCCGAGCTCGGGGGTGAAGTGAGCATTAGTCACAAGGTGGGCAGGGGCTATACGGCACTGCCGTTCGCCAGAATAGTCATCACGTGGGCCTGGGATGGGCAGGGGCTTCAGGATAATTAGAACAGCCACAGGACCTAAATGCATTTTAAGAAGGAAAGAAATATATACTCACGTGCGCCATAGTTCTAGAATCAACTGATCTGTCCTCTTGGGGTTTCTTTTATCAAAGACACAAAATCCAGAGAAGCCAGAGATAGACGAGAAAAAAACAGGCATTAAAATAAGTGCACCTTGGTCCCCAAATGACTTAATACAAGCTTATTGGTCCCCCATCTTTGCTTCCAAGCCCCCCGACCCTGGCTGTTTCCTCCCCCATAAGACACACACATCAACATGATGAATCCAGAAAGGATGAAGAGGGACGTGAACAAAACGGGAAAATAACCTTCCTGAAGCCCTATAAAACCCCAGCTGTGCACACAGAACAGTTTTTATTTGTTTGTGCCTTGAAGTCACACCTACTTTTATCTGTTGTTTCTCAATGTAACTTAAAAACAATTTTTTTTTGAAGTATGCTCTACTGCCCACATGGGGCTTGAACTCACGACCCTAAGATTGAGAGTTGCATTCCCCACCGAATGAGCCAGCCAGGCACCCCTCAACATGGTTTTTTTTACCCGAACTATGATGACACACGATGTTAGTTAGTGTCAGGCGTACAACACGGCGATTCCACAAACCTGTACGTTATACTGTACTTGCCACAGGCGCAGCTGCCTTCCGTCACCACACGTCACCACGGACTATGTTCCCTATGCGGTGACTTCCCTCCCCAGGACTCACTCCGTAATTGGAAGCCTGGGTCTCCTGCTCCCCTTCACCCATTTTGGCCCCCTGCCCTCTGGAAACTATGTTTATCTGTTTTCCGGATTTATGGGTTTGTTTTCGTTTTCGTTTGTTCATATGATTTATTGTTTAGATGCCACGTGAAAGTGAAGTCATAGGGTTTTTACCTTTCTCTTTTCACTGAGCATCATACTCTCTAGGTGCATCCATCTTGTTGCAAATGGCAAGATCTCATTCCTTTTTGTTTTTCGTCCCCTACTTCTAGGAGGTAATCTACATTACACCTGATAGGAAGGTCTTGGTTTTGGGTGCAGCTGGCCATGCCCGACCAGTCGTCGGGTGGGAACTGACTACACCAAGAAGACCCACCAGGAGATTCAGGGTGGTGTTTGGGTCGTGCGCTATCGACTGGCCTGGGAACTGAGACTGACACGCAGACGAGTCAGCCACGTCTGGATGATCGACCAGTGAACTGTGCCCAAGTGCTGAAGCCCCAGCGGAAACTCTGGGTCGTGAAGCTCGGTGACCTTCCCCGGCTGGCAGTCCTCTACGCATACTGTCCTGCATCGATGCCGACAGAGCACCCAGTCCCAACTCCAGTGGGAGAGGACACTGGAAGCTCCATGCTGGGGACACTCCGGGACTTGAGCTTATGGCCTTGTTTCCCTGGCTGGGGTGAATCTACATCTTCTCCCTGTATTTACTGGGAACTCTGAGTAGAACAGCTCTCAGGGAAGTTCTAGGAATCCTTCTAGTCCTGAGGGAGATATAAAACAGAAACAGAGAAACAGCAAAAAAAGGCCTGGGAAGGTCACGATCCCTTGTGCAGAAAGAGTAACGAGCAGTAAACTGCCTGCGAGACTGGCCCATGACCGGACCTCCCGAGGGTCCCCGGGGTTCCCTGACAGGAGTGGCTCACGGCTCTTCAGCTGTTTGTATGAATGATGTGGTTTATCCTGCTGAGCCCGTGCTTTCCTCTGGGAGTCTGGAACTTTGGTATGTGCCAGAGAGAGGGTCCCCTGTGACTGATAAAAACCCTGGCCTTCCCCGCCCACATGAGCTTCCCCGGTGGACAAGGTTTCGCCGGTGTTGCTGTAACCTGCTGCTGGAGTGATTGTGCGTGTCCTACGTGCCCGCACCGGGAGAGCGCTCTGGGAAGTGTGTGCCTGGTTTCCTTCCGGTGTTGTCTGTCCCACACACCTGTCCCTCTGCTGATGGTGCTGTGTATCCTTTCATTGCATAAATCCTGGCCTTGGACAGGACTACGTGTTGAATCCTGTGAGTCCACCCAGAGAACCACAGAACCTGGTGGTGGTCCTGGTGACACCCGGACACACCCTTTGACCTTGCTTTTCTTCTTTTTAAGTACACCTCACGGGGTGTCTAAGAGGAGCAAGGAATTGGCCTGACATGTGTATGTGTGTGCGTTTCAAATTCATGAAACGACAGACTCTCAGAGAAACTTCTTTTTAAACAGTTTCCCTCTGAGGTATCTTTGCATTACTTCACTCACTTTTGTTTCCTTTCGCTTCCTAACACCTAAAGCAACTCTTTGATGTCTACCTACACCCACATATGTCAGGGCACGGACTAGAAAAATGACTAAGATTCTGAAGGACGTCCTGTGCGTGCTGACGGCTATCTGGGCGGGAGGCTGAACTTGACTTCTGAGCTTGTTCCTCCAGCCATGGCGTCCTGTGGAACCCTACACCAGGGGACCCTGCAGGCTTCACTTTGCATCAACGTCATTAGAGAAAACATGTAAGGTGTAACACTTAGCAAACAAATTCCACTGTACTCCACACAGAGCCCATGTGTTCAGAATGATCCTGTCATGACCTGAGAAGAGAATGATGTCCCCTTCCCAGCACCTCTCACGGCACAGTCTCCTAGAAGTCTCCGTAGGCCGTGACCACAGGCCGCCCTGGGCTTCCATTCCGTTTCCCTTTCCGGCTGGCTCATAAGCAATGGGCAGGGGACAACGTCCTCTCAGCCACCTGCTATTCTAAGCACTGCTATCGTATTATAGGCACTTAACAAGAGTATGTATGGCTCGGCTGCCGCATTCTACTTTCTGGACTTATCCCTTGGAAACAGAGTAGTGCACAAATGTATGTATCAGAATGTTCAAGGGCTAGGTTCCAAAAAACTTTCTGAACTAAGTGTAGATTCATGTGGAGCTGTAAGCCGTAATACCACGGGATCCCGCACCCTTCCCCCGGCTGACCCCAATGGTAATACGTCACAAATATGTAGTACGATGTAACGACCAGGACATTGATACTGATGTCAACCACCAATTTTATTCAGATTTTCCAGAGAATCATTTTAAAAAAATGAAAAAAAAAAAGGCAGAAATATCTCATATAAAAGAGATTAAATAAATTATGTCTGCTATAATTGCATCTAATGTGCTTACTAATAACGATACTGATTTATACTATTTGAGAAAGAAATTTAAGCTGAAGTACTAAGTGAAGAAGGTAGGTTTAATAATGTATGCATAATGTGGGAGGAGAGCTCTTGGTGAAAGTAAGAATAAGGCTCTGTGGTCTGACTTTCAGGATGTGAATCTGAGCTCTGACCATTACTAACCTCCACTGTCTCTTCCCCACGGAAAGACTGGGGTAGAAACAGCACCTGCCAGGTAAGACTGCATCGAACTTTTAGGAAGATAATCTACATAAAACACAGTAATATCAACAGTTACTTAATACAATTTAGCAGTTATAATTGAAAATCAGTAAATTACACAACCCTTAATCTGATTTTATAGAAAAAACTCAAGCCCGCCTTCTCCTTTCTTCTTATGCTAAAACACGCACTCACAACTGCGGCCTCTATAATCCACACTAACTCAAAACTTTCAGAGCCTCTTAAAAACGAAGTTCTTTTATATTAACGTTAGCAAAAAAAGAAGAGTCTAAGACATATAAGGAGGAAATGTTCCCTCTTTACCAGCAGAGAGGGACAGATATGCTTCTGCATGGAAAATCCAGCTCAAAGAATGTAAACTGAGGGGCGCCTGGGTGGTTCAGTCTTAAGTGTCCGACCCTTGGTTCTGGCTCAGGTCATGATCTCAGGGTTGTGAGATCGAGCCCCCAACAGGCTCCATGCTGGGTGCAGAGTCTGCCTGAGACTCTCCCTCTGCTCCTCCCCTGCTCACACACTCTGTCTAAAATAAATAAAATAAAACAAACTGAGGAGATGCCAAATGAGAACACTAGCCAGTGGCCAGATCTTTTTGTTTTGTTTTGTGGTTTTTTTTTCTTACAAACCCTTGTGTCGAGGGCTGACTTTCAATAGATCGCAGTGAGGGAGCTGCTCTGCTAAGTACGAAACCCCGATGTGGCCAGATCTTTTATTCCATGTGATATGGAAGATTTCTGTGAACACTTTAATTTTAAAAAAATAAGCAATCTCTAAACCCAATATGGGGTTTGAACCCATGTCTCTAAGTGTCGCATGTTCCACTAAGCCAACCAGGTGCCTCTGTTGACATGAACGTTTTAAACTACTGTCTTCTTATGTTTTTCTGAAATATCCACCCATGGAAATATTACATGCAGTTCATATTTATAGTATCAGTGACTCCTGTCGTGCTCTGTGAAAGAAAAATTAAAATCCTAGAAAACCAAATTTTGAAAGCCTGTCTTTACTGATCATGTGTTCATGGCATTAGTTTCAAATGATGTCTTTCTAATCCTTTAAGGTGTAAATGTGTGAGAGGTTTTTGGAAAGCAAGATGCGGCCCACTGGCACGCCGCTCTCCTCTCCACGCGCACACAGGTTTCATGTCACCCGCAGCTGAGCTGGACTCCTCTATAAACCAAGATTTGGAGACTGTGTGGCTCAATTATGTATCGGCAGGATCCAATGCTCTGGAGACATATATGCACACACCCATGCATGGGGGGGAAGGGCTGGAAACACACATACCAAAATATTAACAGCAATTATCTCTGGATGGTATAGCTATGGGTAATTTTCAGTGTCTTCTTTACGAGCTCCTTAGGAAACAACCTTTGCTGCAGGCCTGTATTAATTCCACGATAAGAAACAGGATTTAAGATAGTCCCCAGTTTAAAACAAATCAACAAAGAAAAAATCCACAGTTATGGGGGAGTGGGTATATTGTGGTCATGAGGGTAACTGTGCGTGGATAGGCCTGTCTCCCCAACATGTCCATGTCCTAACCCTGGAGCCTGTGAACACATTACATTACATGGCAAAGGGGAGTTAAGTTGCCTTGCACTTGGGGTTGCTGGTCAGCTGACCTCAAGACAGGGACGTAGCCCGAATTACGCCAGGT